AAGAGTCATATGAATAAACAAAAGGGTTTAAGATATGTTCGATGTTGTACCAACTACCCAAAAAAAAAGATATGTTCGATGTTCGTTGAGTCTTCTGTTTGGTCGTCGGTGTATACCGTCTTTTCTTGCTTTCTTTGATTGTGGGTGTAAGTGATGATTATTGAAAGTGGACTTGTGTGGGATTGGAAAATTCAAAAAAATAAAATGTCATTATTGTGAAATAAATGTAAATTATTGGCTTGGACATGGCGTTAATGTTATCCAGCTGTTGCAGCAAAAATATAGGACCCCAATTACACCATCCCATGATTTTAGCCCAATTTCTTACTTTCACATCGATTCAAAAAGGTTATTATCTTATATATTTATTCAAAACGTGTTGAGCTTAGTGGACAGACCTGTACAATTCAAATATTGGTATAACAAAATTTTGTGCATCGTAATTTGGTTTGTATAAACATTTATTGCTTTGGAATCAATTTTGTCTTACAAGAAAATGATATAATTCTAAGGAAAATATATTTCAATAAAATTCTCATGTATATTTCAGAGTGCTATTAGTTTCGTTTGAATTTTCAATGGATTCAAATGAAAATTCCAACAAAAATAATGCGTATAGCAATTCGTCCCCAATTCTCCAAAGAAATAAGGTTCCTTACTGTTTTCCTAATTTTTATAGCCTTCGATAGGCTCCTGTAATAAAGAGGCTCGGGAGCAGCCCAAACCCCTAAATAAAATCGCAGTACAGACACTTTAATTCGTCGACAAACTAAGACTTTTCATTCTGTCATCTCCATTATTTTCTCGTTAAATCAACACTAACTAAATTAAACTCTAAATAACACACCATCGCTCCGGTGGTCCCGTTGGCGAGAACGGACATCAATAATTATCCAAACAGTTAGATATGAAGGACTTAGAAAAATCGGTACGTATTCTTGATGTAATTGAGCACATATTCTTGATGTAATTGATCTCTTACATAAAGGTAGAAGTATAATCATGATGTTCTGACATTCTGTTCATTACTTTCATATTCATGTTATACACGAAGAAATGACTTGATCGTCGAAGGCTCTACGTCGGGATCCTCCAAACGCTTTTTAGGTACTCGAACGAGAGAATCAATCACGAAACGGAGATCAAGAGAAAATCGGCTGAACAATACCGGAGTTATTTGGCAGATCTCTATTAATTCCAACAAATTTTAGTTACACTATCTTCAAATTTTTGTTTTTCATTAAACAAAAAGTGATTTTATAATATTTTATAATTTATAATTGAGTTATGAAAATTTAGTTACTTATTAATTCATGATAGTATGGAAGTATTTATAATTTTTAAGTTTAGCTATCCTATAGAAATTAAAGAAGGTTAGATTTTTATGGAACAATTGGCGAAACCAATTTTCTACACATGACAAGTGAAAAATAGCAAATTTTTAATTAATTAGAGAATATAATTTTGCTATTTTTACTTGTATGGTATAAAAAAAAAATTCCACTATGAAGACAACAGTTGACACCATATAAAAACTATAGATTTGTTTTCCATAAATATTAAAACAAAGAATGCAAATTTAACAGGAAATTTTTTACAAAATATTTATAGAAAACCTTCTCTGTTAATACACAAAGAATTCATTAACAGCCCTAATCTTTAGCCTCAATATCTGATTGGTGATTAGTTGCCGGGCTGCGAGATCTTGTTCGATTGGTAATCTAAAAGCCTGTAAAAGCTAGAATGTACCTCTCAATCACCTATGGCGCTATGAGTCAGCTGCCTCAACTAGATCAATCGGACATATGGCAATATCATTTGTAATCCCCAAATTTTAAAACTTTGATAGCTATATTAGCACGAAATACAAAGGTGCATGTATAATGAAGCAGACATGGAGATCCCTTACATCATATTCGAAAACAAACACATATACCTTGCAATCCACAACAGAAGAATGACATTACAATCGCACAAGTATTACAACATTAAAATTCTATCTTGTAGAAGCTTCGGGGTGTTAATCCCACGAATTAAGCAAATACATAGGAGTGTACCCAATTACAGATTGGGATTGAACAAGAATGGTGGAACTTAGTTAAAGAAGGTTTACCGTCCCAATTGGCCAAATAAATTACGGCGCACATGGGAGGACTACAAATCTTGTCAATAATTTATCACTTTTTTCCCATTAATAGTTGAAGCAGCACCCCTAGTTGTCTTCACGTAGGCAACATAATCACTGAAATGCATGGTAAATAGGGTACTCTGATAACGAGTAAGTTGAATATGCTTTCGCAGTTGTCCTGTGATTGTGCCACTATAACCTGCCTTTCTCATCAATGAGTCGATAGCTTCAATTTTTGTCCAGCCTTCCAGGCAAAGAACCAAATAGAGAATATCAAGAGACTTTAACCCAGATATATATACACTACTCGACTACATGAGACATTTCATTCACAGACTCCATCCTCAGGCCTAGAGAAAACAACAATGGAGAAAAATCTCGATTGGGTATCAAAAGTATCCATTTCTGCTCTTTCATATGATTTTGATTCTTTTGGACATTTTGTTTTTCCTAAACAATCCACTTAGTATCACATTTCTAACTACCAATCATTTTTAATTATCAATTTATTTTTTATTTCAATTCAACTTTAACCATTATGCTTTTTTATTTGAAATCAATTCACATTATCAAAAGTTCTTCATTTTTCCTCCAGAAATTTTCTTCCACTTGCTCTGGTGGAAACATTTGGTTTTTCAAAATTCGGGTGTGACTGGATTGAAAGTTCCGCTAGGGAATAGTGACAAAAAGAATTGTAAGAGAAATAACTCTTTAAGAATGTGGAAAGACATAAGATGGAAGTAATGATTAAAGTTGATGTCATACAAAAATAATAGACTAATAATTGGTAGTTAGAAATATGTAAGTGGATGGATAATTATAAATAGTTATTATTTACTTTTATTTTGAAATTTTGTTGATAAGACGGGAGAAGAAGTGATATCAGTGAATAGTGCATTCCCATGTATGCAATCACAAAGTTCGAGTAAATAAATCTCTGTTGGAGTGAAATTGATTTTTATTTTTCTTTTTTTGTGCATCCCATAGCTTCTTCCATATCCAATCTCATTAGCGTTCCATACAGTTTCGAAGGGTAAATATGGACTTACCTTCATGAGCAGCAACCTCAGGCAAGTAAGTGGCACTTCGCCTTGTATTATGGTCAGGATCTGTAAATTCAATAATTATTCCATGTTTTCCAACCTACATATACAGATCTTTTATCAGACAGTTTCTGACTCATCATACAAATTATTTCATAGACCATACTCGTCAGGGAGTTGTTGATGTTTCTGAATTATAATAAAATCCGACAACAAAACTATGTCAAACCGCCTGCACCACTCCATTCCGTATGGAGACAATTTCAGAATTACAGTTATTTTTATTTACGTTTTAATTTAGCATTCTAGATTTGTAGGGTTTTCCAAATACTTAAGGGTTTTAGTATTCTTTTAGGGTCTTTAGGGTACTTTTTCATGTCTAGCTATTTCTACAATTTTCTACCTTTTGATATATTTAAAGTTAACTTCAATTTATAGATTAAGTTATTGGGACCGGTCTTATGTGACAACAGTGTATCTCTACCAACAAAGGCATCTATGCATTGCTACACAAGGTTTCAAAGACTACGTCAGTTACTTGGATAAAAGTGACATTAAGTGAAAATTTAAGGTTTGCCGAGGAAATGGTATGATGCGTTAGGCAATAAGTGAAAAAATTAAGGTCGGCTTGTGGTCTGTATAGGACGTAGTTTCTTCACACTGAAAATCAATGAGCATGAACATAACCTAGAGTTCATTACACATGTAGTGCTATGGGCTTGTACTGAGCTTTTACTATACCACTGTTCAGCAGAAAATGCTAGTCGATTACATTTCTCATTATCAATCCAGCCCATAATGGAGCTACAGAAATATTATCGTTGGGGCGAAAGTTTCAATCCTACCGGAACCCATAAGGAGCTTCTGCCTCAGATTCTATGTAAGACTATCCAGTTAAGGAAATGAGACTAAGATAACTTAAACACCAACTATTTTCTGATAAAACACATGGAAATACAGCTTATTGGCACACTGATTATCCCAAAAAAGAAGTGTGCCACTCTCATATCCAATTTCTCCTTTCTCCTTGACATTCAAATTTCCCCCCTAAAAACTGTTAAGTAGCTGTCCACAATCATATATTTAAGGCATAGGTCATTCTCAATACACTATTCAAAATTGACGATGAAATAAATCGGATATTACGCGAACTGATTCAAGGTTGTGAAGAACATACAAACTGACCTCCCAATCAAGGTAGTCATTAGCAGTTTCATAGTTAGTCAGGATGGAAACTGTACATTCCAAGTAAGGCAACTCTTTAGCTTGTATAGGGGGGAAACGGCGGTCCCTCAGGGCACTGTAAATACAATTCCAAGATTTAGAGGATATATTTTGTGCTCCAGTAATGGTGGCAAAATGCACTAAACCCAAGTGAACAATTCTAAAGCGTAACCATAGAGAATAAACAAACTGGATTTTATAGTGCAAACAAAATGTCAAACCACCTGTACCATAAACCATTTTTAGTATTCTTAGATCGGTTGAAATTCTCAGAAAAAACACAAAAGAAAAAGAAAGGTTTGGTTGAATTTGTCTATTTTGGAACAACTTTCCAAGTTATCCTACTTTAGAAAAAAAAAAGAGAGAGAGAGAGAGAGAGAATAAAAGAAAATGAGATGATACAGTAGGATGATAAAACATCATAGACCTTGGAGAAACCTCATGCTCTCTACAAACTTCACCAACCAAGAAATTACAATAACTCCACAAACCTAGAGAATATATTTTCTGAAAAGTAATGTTGCAGTCTTAATTATTTAAAATCATAATAGCATCAGAAGTGAGAGTAAATAAGGCTGAACGTCATCTCGCTAAAGTGGGGTGGAAATAATAAGACCAACTCCAGCGCATCACCAGATGTGGTGATTTGCACTAGAGTGGAGAGAGCTCCAACCCATCGCTAGGTTTGCGTGCTATATCAAATATATGAACAGTGTTGCCTGAATTCTGGCGGAACACTGTAGCGCATCTCTACAAATTTTTTTATTTTTTTATTTTTATTTTTGGTAATTTAATGCAATTTTTGGTAAATCTTTAGAGTAATTTAATACAATTTTAGGTAAATATTTGTATAATGTATATTAGTAAATGCCTTTATTATGTTAAATAACTTTGCGCTTTTTATGTAGTGATGTATTATAATTTTATTTTGTAATTTTTTAATATTACAATATGAATAAAAGTTTACCACAAGTAGATTTCTTTAAGAAGAAAACTTACCACACACATAAATCATAAAATACATAAACAAACACAACATGATTAAACTTCGGATGACTTAAAAATCTTCTGAACACATGAATAAAAAAAAAATATATAAAATTAAAAAAAAATATATATTAGAATTTATTTGAAATATAAAATAAGTAAAAAAAATATATTTAATGTAGAGTAAAATGTAGCGCAAACGACTGGAGACGAAACTAGATATTTGGATTACTCTACTCTAGAGTAGAGTAAACTCTATACTAGAGTAGAGTAAAGGGCTGGAGATGGTCTAAGCAAAAACACATGTAAACAAAGAATGTACGTTCTAGGACATGAACATGGATAAGTTCACAATCTACCAAACAAGGGTAGGAAGAGGAAAGAATGTTCAGGTGATAGAAACATAGGTCATATTAAAGGACTAGGACAGCGGCTTCTTTAATTATTATCTTTTCTTTATCTTCATCAATGCACTGGAAAATTTGGCATTTATTTCCATCAATTCATTTGTGTCGTAGCCAATTAATTATTTTCACGTAAGCATAGTTTTAAATGGGTGATTTGCACACGGCCTGGCCACGAGGTGAGGGGCGAGGCCTCGGCAACATAGACACCAAAATATATAAAACAATAATAAAGATGGTGATGTTACATAATTAAGTTCAAATTTATGGATCTCTGACAAGACTTACGAAGCCGAATAAGTTGATAACTTTGTAAATATCTAGGTTCTATGTTCATCCATTACCTGACCATTCACATAATATGTCCTGCTCCAGCATTCCATCTCTTATATTGATAACTTGAACAGTATACAATAACATTCCACATACAAATGGGAGGAAACAGACCTTTACCTCGAAGACTTAACAGAGATGCAAAACAATAAACCAATTTTTTATTAATCCCATCACATATTAACCATTTCTGAGAAACCTCAAATTCTTCCTTACTCAAAATTACAAAATTACAGAAGCAAAATTGTCCATGCTGCATATTTAGGTTACAATACAGAAGGTGAAGAGTTGTATAAGGGAACAGGGCAAGCATTAGCAAGCAGATGAAATATTAGTTCATAGTATTAGATCATTTCTTGTTATTAACTAAGCAAGTAAGTTTCACCACAAAGGGCAATAGATGCCAGATGAGATAGATTTAAAAACGGAAAGGTATCCAGGATAAAAAGAAACTTAAGTACACAGGTAGTGATAAGAACTTCTTGCTCCAATACATAACTCAAAAGTACAGCATTGAACAAAATATGAAGATACTTAAAATGAGCTAATCAACCATGATTACCTAGTTAAAGCATAATCCTTGAATCCACTAATTATGCAACGAGCTTCAAGAGTTCCTATGCAGCCACGTAAACGAGGTTCCCCACCATTGATCACTTTCTTCCAAGTCACAAACAATGGACTGAAACCAATGAAGTAAAACTGTTTTCTTATTACCGATGAAGCTAGGAAAATCAAACACAACGAGCCATCACAATATTTACGCGTAGACCAACTATAGAAACCGTAGAATAAAAGGGGAAAGAAGAAAAGGAGAACAGCATAGTGATGTGCGCTTGAATTTTGTAGAATAATATGTGTTTTAAAAAATGATTTAAAATATTTAAATTTGAATAAGGATATGTGTTTTGATCGAGCAGCAACATGTGATCCATGTAGCCAACCCCACTTAATGGGATTTTGACGGCTTGTTGATTGATTATTGATTGAATAAATAAAACAATGGCACAGTGACCAAAGCCTTGCAACAAATCCGAGAGTAGCTTTGAAACAAGACGACACCGCACCCGCAAAACCTCCACATTAGTATTTTTCAAATGAAAACTTCAATCATTTAGCAAGACCCGCCAGAGTATAAAAGTTAACAACCAAACTTTCGTAAATTCAGAAATCACATTACTCTAAAAAAGAAGCAGCAATTCCAACAGGACACCAGTCACATAAACTAGAAACGGGAAGGACATACCATAAAATCAGGGGAAAATAGAAAGTGCATGCTAAAATGCAATTAACCCATACAACAATTTATACATTTCTTAAGCATATATAGACAAAACCTTGCACATAATTTTTCTTTATATGTGGCTATTATAACATATCTTTATAAATGAAAAAGGTTAAAATTTGAGAAAAATGTAGCAGAATTGCAGTCTATTAAACGTCGTACAACAACAATAAGGGATAGATTTCCGTACTGTTGGCCGTCATCGAAAGCTGGAGGAGGGACCTCCTCGTTGTTATAGTGTGCCACCAGTGTGTCGAAGCAGAAAACCACCATCTCCCTATTTGCCGACACCATTTTTTCTTTTTCAAAAAATAAAAGAAAAGAACTCTTGACAGAATAGAAATAATCGATTGATTGAATATTCGATCGGGCAATGGTTAATTAGAGTAAGAATTCAAAAAGAAGAAGAATAATGGAATTGAGTTAGGGTTTGAGCGAGCGAAAGGAATAGTGCCGGGGACAACTCTAATATAACGAGAAGGACCATCATCTATTTCACCCATCCATCATTTATACTTTTTCTTTTACACTCNTAATATACTCCCTCCGTTTCTTATTAAATGTCGTTTTAATTTAAAATTTCTAAATTACGATTTTAATGAGTTGTGTAATAATTTTATCTTTTAATCTTATTAAATTTAATTTTTGAATTATTAATGGGTAGTTTTTAAAGATAATGTTTGTTAAAGAGAATAAAGATGTAAAAATGAATATAATATTTCCAACGACAATTAATTTGCAAAAAAGTTGACACCCTACAACGACATTTAAAACGAAACAGAGGGAGTATATATTTTTCACCCCTCACAAGGCACGAAATGTTGAAATTTAAAAAAAGTATAAGATTTGCACTTATACTAAGGGTCTGTTTGGTTTGATGGATTGTGCATGATATCACACTATTTAACAATATTTTTATCTCATTAACATGTTTGGTTTCAATAATGAGGCCCTTGAAATGAGTAATAGCCCGGTTAGTTTTTAAGATATTTCATGATTATATATTCCATCTTTAAGGTGGGATGTGGAGTGTATCATTATTTTGCTATTAAATTTACATAATTACCCATAACTCTTTTCTTCCACAAATTTCCACAATTTCCCCCAACTTTTCTAAGATAACCTTTCTTATCCTCCTCACACCTCTATTTTATTCTCCAGTTTCATTAACGACCAAGCTCTCCAAAGAAAGACAACCCTAAATGACTCCGTCGCCGCCCTCCGCTCTTGGACCTCAGGCGACCGCACCCCGAGACTCCCGACGGTGCCGTCCAGAACCCAGCCTCAAGTCGGTCGACCTGCGGGGCCCAAATCCTCCTTCTACAGTCCCCCAACGTCGCGGCGCAATGCCCGCTGATCTACAACAATATTGCTTTCCGACAAGGATTTTCTCAACGTTTGTGTTTCCGACGAACAAAGAAGGAAAAGAATGGAATTTCTATTGTAGAATTTTGTATCAATTAAAGAAAAATCTGTCCTTTTTTTTTTCAACAAGGAATTATTTGTTGTAAAAATTGGGGTTTTGGATTTTTTTCGTGCGTTTTTAATACACTGTGAGCAAAGGAATTGGTATATGTGAAAGCTGCTTAGTTTTTAAATTGTGTTTTCATGGATTTCAATTTCAGAAGAAATATGAATTTTTGCACACTCAAGCTTGGGGCTGCGGGAGATAAAAACAGGCATGGTGATGCGCGAAGATGAAAACAAACATTTGCAAATTGAATTTTAAATAAAGGATAAAAAGGTAAATTCAACTTAAAGGTTTTAATAATCATTTAGTAACCAAACAAGTTAATAGCCCTCTTTTATCAAAAGGATAACACATAAATATTTTAGTGAGAAATAATCAAGCTCAATCAATAATACTAACCAAACTCACCCTAATAATAATGTAAGTTCATGTAAATTTATGAAAGTCTAACAACTAAACCCGAATTTAAGGAGAATGTCTCACTCTCACTCAGAACTCTTTCATTACGTAAGTGTTTTGCCAACAAGTACAAATATGAATTACTCACCTAAACTTCTTTTAGCAAATCTACTTTGTACATCCATCTACCTAACAACTTTTTGACTATGCGCGTGTGATACGCAAATTGGTAGAGTTGACCCTAATTTCTGCTTTTATCGCTTATCGATGAACCCATAGAGATTCATAGTACCTTTCTGGTCGTAATGTTGTTAGCTTCTTCAAACGTCATCCTTCCAAGATCTCCCACTGGAAATTAAAATATTATTTTATTCGACCTCCCCCTGGCACCTTCGACTTCTCCCTCGAGTGGCTTCATGAGCTCCGGCCAGGTGAAAAACCCCAAACCCTGCGTTGAGTATGATGCTCTGATCGTCAAGTGGAACGAGCGACCATTTCATATCGTAAAACCGACCAACGACCCGTAACTCTTATTTCATTGCGGGCTCTCTAACTGCTCGGCAAAGCCGATTACTAACATAGATAGGCACCTCATTGTACTTGCGATTCATAGCGCTGACCTCCGAGCTAATTCTAACTTATTTTCTAGATTTTTCTTTTTCCAAAGTCTCTCTTCAGCACAATGACCACCGACCCGACCCCTAAGGAAAAAAAGTTGAGGTCCACTGATGACCAACCCTCTACCACTAAGGTGATTGAGCTCGACTCAGCCGAGCCCGAGAGTACCACCCCGCAGCCCAATCAGTCAGGGAAAAAACAACAGCGCACTAAACGCAAGAAAGGGAAGACTTCCTCCAAGAAAGCAAAGGGGGTGGAGGCACCTAAGGGAAAAGAGGTATGTTGCACCCTTCAACCCTCGAAAAGCCAGGTCCTTTGCGGAAACCAAGGGTGTGGGTTCCCAAGCTTCTTATCTCGTCTCCATTTTCCCTGGGGGTGAGGCTAGACACTTGAAAACAAGGAAGGGTCGAGTTTCCTTGATCACCTACCATCTTGTCCAGGTATAAAAACTTTTTATTTATCATTCTTGTTTGCATTATCCTAGTCTCATAACAAAACTGACTTTTTTATCATTAACCTTGTAGACGTTGGTCGGCTTGGCTCCCCTTCTCGACGAGTACAATTAAGATTTATTGAACGGACCACGAATGATACGTTTAGTACCAAGTAAATAATTATACCTCATTTATTACTCGTACTCTGAATCTAAAAGATAATAAAAGGGCATATATATTCGATATTTACAACTTTAATTCACCAAAAGGTGAGATCCACTTATTGAGCAATAGACTGGGAGATTGGGGTACTAATATCAAACATATAATGTGTTGTTAATTATTTACGGACATTGTGTCTTGATATGTTAGGCTGGCGATGTCCCCAAAATGAGCTCAAAATGTTTATTATGCTAAACCCTACAGGTGGATTAGTTTTCTATATAATAATAAGGTTGAGTGGTACTAGTTTTGGAAAAACTTAATTCATTGATGTTATATCTTAAACATGATGGGATAAACTAAGTGAATAAATGTAGAGCCAAATATATAATTTGGGCCTAAAGTGGAAGTTCAATAATATTCTTTTAGTAGAATTGAATATTATTCATATGGATTGAGTGTAGGTGGACCAAAACCTAGTTGCATAATCATATGGGGAGTGCTACTTAAGCACCTCCTTAATATTGTTCCTGTTGTAGCTTATAAATACACCACGTCCCCTCATTGTTTCACACGTTCTTAAACCTCATAATCTCGTCGAACGCACGAGTGGTACTAGTTTTGAGTGGTACTAGTTTTGGAAAACTTAATTTATTGATGTTATATCTTAAACATGATGGGATAAACTAAGTGAATAAATGTAGAGCCAAATATATAATTTGGGCCTAAAGTGGAAGTTCAATAATATTCTTTTAGTAGAATTGAATATTATTCATATGGATTGAGTGTAGGTGGACCAAAACCTAGTTGCATAATCATATGGGGAGTGCTACTTAAGCACCTCCTTAATATTGTTCCTGTTGTAGCTTAAAAATACACCACGTCCCCTCATTGTTTCACACGTTCTTAAACCTCATAATCTCGTCAAACGCACGAGTGAAAAAGAGAGAAAAACTTGAAAGGGTCTAAGAAAGCGATAAAAATATAGTGTTTCCAAAATACAAGGTCTTCATCTTTTTTTTTTTCTCAAAAACCGATCACATGAGGCATCTATGAGGAGACTCCAAAATTTGTCACCCACCAAGACGATCGAGGAGGTGTCTGAATTATAGTAGAAGATAACAAGGTGATCAAGGCTATCCTTTTGTGCAGTCTCGTAGACCATTAAATCGACTTAGATTTGGTAAAAAATTAGACTGTAAGTTTCTAATCATAATTTTAGATCCTTGCGTTAAGGATTAAATTCTTAGTTTTTCAAGCGTGCACATCGATCAATGTTCTCCACCAAATTCAACATGGAATCGTAAACTCAATGATGCTGATGGTGGTGAATTATATCAAATATTACTATGATAGAATAATATGCTGAAAACATTGGTGTTGTGCAAATTAAATTTTCCAAAGTTATAAGTGATAAAATGAGGCATATACTCTTGAAGAAAAGTATATAAACATTACAATAATCAATTTATAATGAGATATCTCAATATATTATGTTAATATGGGAACTGAATAAGTGTCGACACATAAAAATGAATAGAGTTGTAAGTAATATTGACGAGGTTGACCGATAACGAGAATATTGAAATTCACTGATAATGAGTGTATTGAAATCCATCAATTAAAATTTAGAATATCATTGTGAAAATATATATTGTCAAAAGTATTATTTTGAGATTTTGATAAAGAATTGATATTGAAATTTTGAAGAGACAGAATATTTATTCATGCATATAATGACTCATATAAAGATTGTTATTGAAATGAAAATGTATATGATTGAGGTTTTTGTCCCAAATGAATTGTTTTTTAAAACTTGACAAGACAATTGTGATTTAATTGTTATAAAATGTTTAAAAGAGGTTTATGATATAATAAGAATGAGTTTGAGACAGAAAGTTGCACAAAAAACATGATATAAATATCATTAGTATCCATAAACTTGAAAGAATAATAGATTATTATGATGAATGAAGAAGATATATGGAATATACATTGTATTGTTTTTCTCTTGGTTGAGATTTTGTCCTATTGGGTTTTCCAAAAAGATTTTTTAGTGAGGCAATAGAAATGACGTATTCATGTGAATTCTATACTATTTTTCCATCATTAAGATTTTGTCTCACTGGATTTTTTTTCATAAAGTTTTAACAAGGTTCTGAAAACCAAACCGGTGAAGCTACTTGTTCAATGGTTCACCGGTCAGACCAGTGGTCAAACCGGTTTAATTAATATATATTTTTTATTTATTTAATATCTATGATATATATATATATATATCATTAATTTTATAATGTATAATGATATTTTTCTAAATAAATAAAGAAAAAAATAAATAAAGAATTGTATATATTCTAATTATTTTAACTAGCATGTCCGATTGAAAGTATAAGCTTANTATTTAAGTCACATTCTTTAAGCACTCTTGTAGGCTTTCAGCCATGTAAGGCTCAATAGAGCAATAACGGCCCAATGATTATAATAAGCCTTTATTTGTGAACATCCCACATAAAAAACACTAACAAAATAATTTAGCTATTTAATTGATTTTACAACCACCTCTACTCAAAGTCCTCAATTGGACCGCTAGCCCGCACCAACCACTATTGGTTTTAGTGGTTTGACCAGTTTTTAAGTGGTTCAACTTATTTTTTAGCCACTTTCGGGCCCCAATGATTCCATACACCAAACTGGATCGGTGTATTTGTCGGTTCCCAGTTGAACCGGTCGAACTAGTCGGTCCGGTTCGATTTTCAGAACCATGAGTTTTAATGATGCATATTCATGGTATGATGAGGATTATTGAATGTGATTCCTCATGATAAGAAGACATTGACATAGTTGTACTCTTTTTCCTTCGTTCAAGTTTTATCTCACAAGGTTTTCTTCACAATGGTTTAATAAGACAACACATTGATGCTCCACTAAGGATGATCTATTTAAGGAGAAAAAATATTTTGCTTCTACAATGCTTATGTTTTGCTCCACCGAGTTTTCTTTACATGATACAGCGGTACCTAGTGACCACAAGCTACTAAACAAGATATTCAAACTAGGCTTTTCTTCCAAATAATTTAGATATGTTTAGAAAATATTTTTTTAAGGGTAAGTGCTATTATGTAGTAGGTTCACCTATTGTATTAATTTTAATAAGTGTGAACGGCTAATTTGCCCTTATTGTAATTGTACTATTACAATTTGTCAACATAAGTTTTTCTTTAAATAGTAGTTTCAGTTATAATGAATACTATATGAAGATAATACATTCTCTGTTACAAATTTTTGTGTAAGCTAGCCTAACCATTAGGTGGGTCGACCCGCCATAATCTATGAACAAAAATACATACTTATACTATCAATGTCATACATTTGTTTATGAAGTGTTACGAAGTAGGCATATTTTTATACAAGTATGCATATTTATAAAAATAATACGTAAACCTATTAGTACTATTTCTGTATTATCTCTTTGTCTATAGTTATATAACAATTTTAAATTTTTAATGGTACATGAAGAGGACAATCAAGCACTATAAAAATGGCTTCACGTGTTTGGATACAAATAAACAGTTTTTTACTGGGTTTTTTTTTTTGTTACCCGTGTTTAGATTTAAAAAAGTTAGTTTGCTTAGTTTTTAGAAGGATATTAAAATAATATTTTAAAAAAATAATTAAAATTAATTTGATGTAAAAGTAGTGCTATTAAATTAAATGAGTTTGGTTTGACTCGACTCATTAAGGCTCGAGTTCGGCTAGAGTTTGAGGCCTTAACGAGCCGAGCTCGAGCTCATTTAAAGCTCGTTTGGTTAAAGCTCGGCTCGATAAGGCTCGTTAAGAGAATTTTTGTATAATTTTTTATAGTTTGTCTCGTTAAACTCAAGATTCGCTCGTTTGGGCTCGAACTCGGCTCGTTAATAGTGATAAACGAGCTGAGATCAAGCTCAATTTGTAGCTCGTTTATTTAACGAGTCGAGCTCGAACTCAAGCACCCTTAACACCAACTCGGCTCAGCTTGTTTTAAGGCCTATGTAAAAATAGAAGAGAGATGATGGTTGATATTATTAAGTTACATTGATATATTGAAGATATTTGAGATGAGGTAAGTTTGATTTGGATTTTGAGTATGAATTGAGTATGAAGATGTTATCTATATTTTATATATGTATATATATATATATATATATATGAGGCAATGATATTTACTTGAAATAGCAACTAAAAATCAACAAAAAAAAAAACATTTAGTTTCCGGCCTAAAGTATTTACTATATTGAGTAATATTTTTGGCAAATATTTGAAAAATCCCGCCTAAATTAATGTACAAAATATTTTTTGTCAAATATTGCGGTTATTACCTTTCTTAGTTGCATGATTTAAATTTGGAATATAATATATTGACAAAACTTGCAACTATTGCTTTTATTAGTTGCATGGTTTAAATTTGGTATATAATATATTAAAAAAATAAAAAGTTTTTTGTTTAAAATTTAAAAAAAATAAATAATTATTTATAATTTACACGTCAATATTAACTTGGACGTAAACGTAATAGTCAATTATCTATAATTTAATAAATTACTCAATAACTTATGGGTCAATACTAACTTTGACGTAAACGAATTTATAGTTTAATAAATTACTCAACTATTTAATTTTTTTTTATTTGAATAGTTTATACAAAAAAAATTATTTTAAGTAATGAACCAATATAAATTTTATATTTACACTTATTATTCACATAGGTTGTTAAATATATGATAACATTTTACCAAAATAACTAATTTATGGGATCATATTATAGTTAAATCGAATTTATGAATAATAATTTTGAAATGATACTTATTTTGAAACGAATATAATGTAATTTATTATCAGTTATGTGCACCACACGGGTTGTATACTAATTTTAAATATACATTTTTATATAATCTTATACAATTTAAACTTTATATAACATTTTCAATAAATTAGTATAGGTAATTGTATTACATATTGATTCCATATTTTTAATTTATAATTATTACTTAATAAGAATTATTAATTTATATATATTAATGAATATCTCTTACTCGTGTACTGCACGAGACTCATACTAGATTATTGAAAAAAGTTGATGAAATAATCTAAAATAGTAACTTTGACTTTGTAATTAAATATGATGACTTACTATTAAAGGAAATACAGTAAAAATTACTTTTATATTTATAGATAAAAAATTGAAAATCAAAGTATACCTAAATGTTGTAAATCGTGCAATTCGATTAATATAACGACTTTCTATATAACTAAAATGGTATAATTTTTTTAAAAAAAATTGTTATCACAATAAAAATCTGATTTTTCTTACTAGTTACAAATTACTGGTATTTCTTATCCTTTTGTAACCAACCATACAACATGTCAAAAAAAAAAAAAATCTATTAAATAGTTTTTGTTATTATAAAATACTATTTGAATATGCACGATAAAATTGTAAATATAATTACAAAATAAAAATTATAAATCAGTAGTAGAAATTTTATCATGATATTTTATCACAGTGTTACAATAAAATCTTATTTATCAATATTAATAACAAATCACAGTGATTTGTTATTCATTTGGTAACCAACCATATACCAAAATATTTTTATTGTATCTTCCAAAAACCATTTAATCAAGAGTATTAGTTTAGAATCCTTTGATTTATCAATAACTCAACTATTTCATTTTTTTAAAAGTTGTAAACGCAATTTTCCATAATATCAAAAGAATTTAACTATTTATCTTTAATAACAAACCAATGATTATCATTAATATCCAATCGTGTGTTCTCCTACTTTGTTGGGTATCCAGCCTAACAAATTCATCCAGATCATTTGGTAACGAGCCATATAATAAAAATTATCTATTCAAGGAGTTCAAAAATATCTTTTGGCTTTATTAATAACTGTACCAAACCAGTTTTTAAAAAACTCATGTTGTGATTCAAAATATCATAACAAATTTCATATAAATATTAGATTAGGAAGAAAAATATTTATAATATATATTATTATAATTTATAAAAAAATAAAATAATAGTGACGTAATTAAAAATTAATCATTTTTAACTTCCAAATGATATATATTACAGTCTTTTTCAATTAAATTTTAGTTATTATACTTAACACAATTTTTCAACTTTAGCATAACTTATTTAGAAATTGACATAATATATTGTAATAACTAATAAGGTTTGAGTAAGGAGAAAGAGAGAGAAAAATTATTTGAATAATAAATATTTGAATATGTTAAATTTTAATTATCTCTAATTATATAATATATATACATAAACTCTAAAATGACAACTATTTTATAACGAGTAAAATAAATATATAAATTATATATTAAATTATTATATATCATAAAATAAAAGAGAAAAATTAATATTAATATTAATATTATTTTTATTGTAATTAATATTTTATTATTTTAATACATACATTTTATATTTATTGACCCGTGAATAGCACGGGTTAGGGCGAACACCCTGACCTCGAATAGTTTACCGTCATAGTTTGTATTCAAAGTTTCAAACAACCTGACCTCGAATCCTCTGCAATGAATCGCGGATAACACATCCATCTACCCACCCACCGTAGACGAAATTATGGCGAGGTTCAGTGTGGAGGGAGATGAGTATGACGATGGGAATGGAGAGGGGCCCAGCAACAACAAACCCTTGCGCAACAAAAGACACCGCACCTCCCTTCCCATCGCAGAAACACGGAAGAGGGCCACCGCCGGAATAACCTTATCCACATCTCCCGATCCTCAAATTCGGTATAGTAGCGCCTACTCACATGATTCAGAAGAAGAATCAGAAGAACGAGAAGAAGAATCAGAAGAACGAGAAGAAGAAGAGGAGGACGAAGAAGAAGATTATGAAGACGAAGAAGAAACGGTACAACCCACTGAATCAAATGTAGATCCGCCTCGTAATAGAAATGGTACCGACTGCGTGGATGCCCAGGTTCCACTTTCAGTGACCCTAATCGACCCGGATGTGCTCGATTGCCCGATTTGCCTCGAACCTCTCACTCTGCCCATCTATCAGGTACCTCTGCTGTTGAAATGAACCATCTGCGTTCCAGTTCATCATTAATTATTTCTCTGGTGTCCAAATTTGCAAAACGGAAGTGTATAGATGATGTGCTGGTGTGCATTCTCGTGGGAAATAAAATAAATTTCATAGTTGTGGAAATTTGAATGCACTGTGCCGGGTGTCACACAACATCTATTGTTAGAGGTAGATGATAAATATAAATTTTCAATTTCTGTTCAAGTTGCTTGAAAAAAGTTGTTGGCAAGGATGATGTTGATTTCTGGTGGGAAGAAGCATTAGTGCTGTACTAGGAAGAGCTCATTTCTGCCTGCAGATAAGTTTCATCAGAATGCTGTGTAGTTAGTTGTCCTGACTGAGGTTCACTTATATTAGCTTTTGCACATACTATTTGGGTTTATGTGTGTTATGTTATCTGTGATTGTTTATTGAATATAGGATCTCCTTAGGTATCTTTGATGAAATGTTCTGCTTAGAATTAAATCACATACATTTTCAAGTATGCTATCCAAGTCGTGTAGCACTTTCATCACTAGTCACATGCCATCAGCTGATTTAGGTTATCAGCAAGCACAACACCTTTGCCGTGGAATAGGTCTTCGTAAAGGGTTCCAGAGAAGCAAAACTCTAATGGATACAGCATATGGTCCAACTTGGAACATAGTATTTCTTATACTGTCTCTTTATTATCCACCGATTTAATAAATTAATTCAGTTACGCATAGAGATCCGTTAGTTAGAAAATCATGGGTTGCTTTCAAGAATTATGTATTCTGGGGTGTGCTTGTATAAAAGATAATTCTCATTTTCATTCAAGTTAAGAAAATCTCACCAAAAAAAATTTAATTTTTTGTATCCATGTCAAACTTCTGATCGAGCCATTACATTTTCTAGTTACATCTTTGTATTTAATGTTTCATCCTTTTAACTCTTTCTGTTGTCCATAAACAACCAGTTTGGCTTGCTCCTCGTGCAATTAATGTTTGTTCTGAGGTTTGGTGGCAGGGCTGAAAGAAATGCCGGATTGCTTCTGTTTTTATTGTTATCGATATAACTACCTTTAACATGTTCTGCTGTTGATTGAAATCTTTGATTCTTTGGTGATGCTTTGGCAAAGAGATTTTTTTTTTCAACTACTTACTGATAGCAAAGATGGAAGAATTGAGTTACTTTTATTGATTCTAAATTTTGTTGAGCTCTTGTATTCCCAAATGAAGGCTTTAACTAATGATTGCTTAGTTTTATGTTTTTGCAATTATTTATCATATCTTGTACCAAAGTTGTGTGCGTTTACCGCAAATTTAGTTTGAATTGTATTGCTTGATCCTTGAAGAGAATCATATCTCACAACTGCTATGTGCGTAGACATCAATAGATTGTTCAATCATTGGACACTTATCTTAGTGTTCTTTTTGGTTGCACGTGCTATTTACATACTTGCCATTATCTTGTAGTTAATATTTTGGCTCTAGGCAAGCTCTTTTGAGGCTTTTGGGAAGCAACTCTTTGTAATGCGAATGAAAGCTTCAATTGAGGTGGAATATATTTTTGTCTTCGTAGACCATCTCAAGACATGGGTCTCAAATTCCAGATATGATTTGAGACACGATAATTTCTCTAATTGTAAGTCTTAGTCTTATATTTAATTTGAAACCCCTCCCAGAAAGGTCCCAAAACAACACTCCATTTGTATATGGTCCCAAAGTTTTGAGTCTCAAAAGTCTCATATTTACCGTCAAAACATCTTTTGCTTTATCTTCTTGGCCCATTTATTTGTTTATTTAATACTTTTCTCATTTACCCATTTACAATAATATATGTTTTTAACACAAAACACATCTTACATTATACCCAAACTAGTGCGTGACCCGTGCGATGCACGAGAAAACGAGAAAACAATATTACGATTGTATTATAAATTAAATATATAAATAACATTAATCATGATTTATCCATTGTTTTTAAATTAAATCGGGTTGGACACAGTACGACCGTATGGATCGAGAATCGGTTTATAACCAGTCTAGTTCGCTTGAATAAAATATTTGCTCTCAAATCCGTCAACACCAGTCGGTTGGACTGGTAGGATCGATACGATTTTCTTAATAAATTTTGTTATATTTAAAATTATTTTAAATAAAATTACATATTTAAATAAAATAGATATTTATAAATTATTTATCAATTAGTTTAAACATTATTTATAAATTGTTTAGATATCTAAGTAACACATTTTATTTAAATTATTACAAAAGGTACAATATATATATATATATATTAAAATATTTATAAATTAAAATCTAAACAAACCACAAATGATTTAATAAAATAGCTTGATTGTTTCGATGACGGTCCAGTTCTGAAAACCTTATATTTATTATACATTAATAAATGTTATAATAAAATATTATTTAATTCACATAAAAATTAATAAAATGATATATAAATATTCATAAATTATTAAACATGTTGTCATATAAGTATTGTTAATACGATTATTTAAAATTTGAACTACATCAAATTCACGTAATAAAATATTTCAATATATAACTTATATTTAAGTTCAATAATCGATTTAGTGTGGTCGAACTGATACATAACTTAGTCACATGGGACCAATCAAGTTGTGTCAAGTTTTTTTACTATTTTAAATACCATCTAAAAGTAATTCAATCAACTTGGGTAGTAACCTAATTCAATCACCCGATTGATCCGAAGAAATTTTCTTATTTCATTTAAATATATTTAATTTTATGAAATAAAAATATTTTATGATTCATATAATTAATGTCTACACTAAATGATAGTATATTAAGAATATATATTATATATCTAAAGATGAATTAATTATTTTTACTTTATGCATATTAATAAAAAAATAAACATAGTAATTTTCAAAAAGTTGAGATTAATTGATTGATTATGCAATTTAAAGAATATTTTTAGCGTTCAATATTTTTTTTTAAAGACACAAATATAAAGATCGAGATTCTAAAACTTTTGTTATATTTTGAGTTGAGGTTTTACAAATATAGAGACCGAGGTTTTAATTGTTCGTTATTTCTAAGAAAAAAATAAAAATAAAAACATACACACTTCATAAATCTTAGCCGGTTTTTTTAAATAATAAAATGAACTAAAGCTCGAAATTTAAGGTAACATTTAATGTTGTATGATTTTGAAAGAAAAAAAATAGAAAAAATAATAAAACTTACTATTTATAGGCTGCATTAAATTATGACCTATTTTTTTTTCTATTATTTTTAGTAAATGGTAATTCTTATTATATATATATAGATATAGATATAGATGTATATTTAACCATTAACATAATTCAGTTTTTAATCAAATATAAAAAACAAATAGTTGATACATTTAGTAAAGAATAATGAAATTTTATAAACAATAAGATGTTTAAATATTAACTAAAATGAAAGAAAAATATAATATATAGAAATTTTAAATAAAATATTCGTAAAAGAAATTATGCCAAATGGTATATTTATTGTGTAAAAAATATCACCGGAAAACTAACATTTGATTGTTTTTTTACTTAAAACTAATTGCAGGAGTGTTATAATCTATAAGAGCTCATGTTTGGAGCATGATAAGATTTGAGACACCGTAGTGTCAACTTTTTTATCTTACATAGGACTGACATTTGTTGACCGAAAATCGAAAACCGAACTGAATCGCACTGACTCACTTAAAACGGTTACCGATTGTCGGTTACCGATATGTTATCGATTCGGTATTGGTTCCGAAATCAAGAAAGGTTCAGTTTTACCGAACCTAACCGATAAGGAATTTTAAAAAAAATATAATACTTAATGTTAATAGTTAATAACTTAATACTAATAATTAATCATTTAATACTAATAACAAATAAGTAATAACTTATGTTATATAGCTTGTAAATGCATAACAGAGCAAACAACTTTTGGATTTAATTACTAAGCAATATTCAGGACTTGAAAACCATCATAAGCTATATTCAGGAAATTCAACAGTTGCAGATTCTGGATGTTGGATGCTTTGGTGTGAGCATGAGATTTCTCGCGGACTAATTTCCCTCAGCAAAAGTAGTAGTATGTTCGACCACTTTGCGCATCTGTGGATTAATTTTATGGTTTGTATAATTCTATTAATCACTGTATAAGTAATCAAAATTTGATGAGTATTAATTTCATACATGCTCATCTCACCCAAAAAGAAAATAAAAAATAAAAAATCAGCCCTCTCACCATTATTGGTAAATTTAGGTTTTTTTGGTAAGAAATCGTTACCGAACCGATTGTAATTGGTAACCGGAAATGGTAATGGTTTCATTTTTGTAGTTATCGAAATAATCAGTTCGGTATCGGTTTGGTAACCGAACCGATACCAACCCTAATCTTACAGGTTTAAAATTTTGAGAATTGAGACCCACGTCTATGGATGATCTTAGCTTAATGTTCAGAGCTATAATTATGTTTATTAGTCCATTATCTGTGGGATCACTTATAGATTGTTATTTAGAAATTAGTCACTTGCTATAATATTCGGTGAATTCATGACATAAATGTGTAACTCCTCAAAACTAATCTCGATTAAAGGATCGTTTTTTGATTACTTAAGTCTTGAAGATCCAATCATAAGGGCAATATGTCAGGTTTTTTATTTTCTTTGAGGGGTGGGCTGGGTAGTTAGAAATTAGAATCATGCTTACGTAGAAGAGTTGCGTTGATATGAAAGAAAAAGAATTTTTAAACTGTCCTGGGATTTATTTGTATGTAGGATAACAAATAAGTGAAGGATTGGAACTTATGTGGTTAGCTGATTCTATTGTTGTCTTCTTAATCTCCAGATCCGGATCTTTTTGTTTCATACTAACGAAAAACTTGTTGCTGAACTTGCTCACATATATTTATTTTATTTTTTTGTTGTCATTTCATAAACGTTTTTAAGTTAATCAGTTGCATTTGTTTTGTTTTGCTATTGAAAAAAAAAAATTGCTGATATATTAAATTAGTTGCATAGCTTGAATACTAGGCAAAAGCCTGTTTCTCATCCGGCAATCTTACATTAAACACTACAGAAGCAGAAAAAATTGAGTTGATACAATTTTCCTTGTCTAAAATTTTGAGGTAGTGTTCGAGCGGGCACATAGCGTGCGCATCTTGCTGCACCAAGATGAAGAACAAGTGTGCAAGCTGCAGCTTGTCGATTGGGTACCATCGCTGCAGGGCCATCGAGAGGGTTCTCGACTCTGTCAGAGTCTCTTGCTCTAATATGCGACACGGTTGCAGGGAATCCTTACACTACAGCAAGAAAGTCGTACACGAGAAGACGTGCAATTATGCACCATGCTCGTGCCCCTATCCCGGCTGCATGTTCTCCGGCTTGGCCAGATCCATCTACACACACTTTTCCATAAGGCACCGGGGATCAGGCAAGCAGTTTGTCTTCAACACGGCATGCTCGGTTTCATTGGTGGCCGGCCATAAGTATGTTTTTCTTCAAGAAAAGACCGACTCTACACTTTTCGTGCTTAATCATTGCGTTAGGGATCTGGGGAGGTTGGTGAGTGTGGTTTGCATTGCACAGGCTTCATCGGATAGGAAATTCGTGTATGATATTTGTGCGAGTGATGGTGAGAGCACAATCAAGCTGACAAGTGTAGCAGAGAACACAGGGAAGTGGGTTGAGAGGCCTCCGGAGAAAAAGTACGTTTTGGTTCCTAAAGATTTTACAGGCCCGTCCGGGTTGCTTGTTTTGGAGTTTACGATATGGAGGGCCAGTCAACCAAATTGAACTCAGAGTTGGCTACATTTGTATTAATGACTTGTGTACGTTTGTTAAATTGTTAAAGACAATTGGGTGTAGATGTAGATGGGTGATTGTTTTTCTTGTGGCACTCGACTCAAATTCCAACTCACACCCACATTAAAAGTTAAAACACAAACAGACATAAAAAAGGGACTGTATGCAATTGAGGAGATGAGTTTGCTTTGCTTCTCGCTTTCCTCTTATTGAAATATTGTGATTCATCTGTTCCTGAACCTTTTTAGTGTTTCTTAATTGCAACTAATTCCTACTTTATGTTTGGTTGAATTATATTTATTATTTAGGTAAAAATGATTATATCCCACCCAAGTTCTATGGTATATTATAAATTACCATAATTTTTTTTTATATATCATAAACCCATATAAACTCGGCTTTTTTATATCTATGGTCTTTTATATTGTTGGCATTGTACTAATGTTGGTAAATATTTGGCTTTATTGTTTGTGATTGGTATTGATGGTTTTGTTGGTAATAGAATGCTTTCAAATACACAGGAGTAAAGAAAAAAAATGGAATGTTGCAACACTTTTTAACAACAGGTGTTTTAAACAATTTAAAAGGTGTGAGTCTTTATCTATTCAAACAAGATATAGAAATCCTACTTCGATAATGGGTTAACATAAAGTCTATTTTGTACAACAGATTAACACTCAAGCATGTTTGTTTATAAGATTTTTCAAAAAAAAATCGACGTTTTAACTCAATCACTTTTTTTAACTCAACTTTAACTCAACTCCACTATCATCAATATTATCAATATAATTAAATAATATCAATCAATCATACACACCACATCAACTTTAATTCACTATTCATCCACTCACATTATTTTAACTTACTATCACTTCAAATCATCTCTCTCATACTTTTACATCAAATCAATTTTAATTATTTTATTTTAAATATTATTTTAAAATACCCATTAATACCTAACCATACCACCTTTTTCAAAATTAATCAAACCAAACCAAAAAATCTAAACAAACCCAAAAATTTCATAAACAAACATGCTCTCAAGCCGTGCGAATCCAGTGTGCACAAAGTATACTTTTCATAACAGATATATTTGTTAACCTGTTATACAAAATAGTTTTTATAACAAGTATGCGTTGACCAGATATAAAAATAGGATTTTTCATAACGGGTCGAACCTAGTTGATTCTTTATATGTCGTTGGAACTACAATGGATGCAAAAACGTTATAAAAGGTCAATCGTTATAAGAAATATTCACTATTAGTGTCATTTTCTGTGACAATTATCATTTGCGCAAGTATTTTAATAATAGCCGGAATTTGTACGAATGATTGTCATAATGTCATTTATATAAAACTTAGCTTAACATTGTAATTAAATCCTGAGCAATAATGTGAACGATAACTATTAGAGCAACTGGACTTTCAATGTATATAAATTTCAGAGTAATTATAATTTTAGTCCTGTATGTTTTGCTATTATAACTTTTTCGTTCTCTTCGATTTTTTTTTTTTTTTTTTNNTCCGTCTATTATGTCTACAAAAAGATTACAAAAAAATCACCTTAGCAACAAAATTCAAAAAAGTCCCGTATGTTTTGCAAAAAGGTTGCGATTTCGCTCCTTTTGTAAGCTCAGGACCTTTTTGTAATCTGTTTGCAAACATAAAGGACGTAAATAAAAAATAATAATTCGAAGGGGACGAAAAAGTTATGGTGATGAAACATACAAGACTGCAATTGCGATTTACTCTAAATTTAAATACATAACAATCAATGAACAAAATGTTAATCCTCATAAGATGAGTGTTAAAAGAACAACACTTTTAATTCAAAGTATTACCGTCTTTAATGCACTCATTGGATAAGTAATCTAAGTGAGTAATTTCAATTTGGTCACTAAATAATCCTAATTGTTGACTCATAATGTGTAGCAAATTTGAAGAATAACAGTGAACTCAAATGTATTGACATTAATTTTACCCACATGATATCATACAAGTCTTCATAGATAACATGCACTACTAGAGAATGAATTATTTACATTATTTTCCAACTTGATGACATGAATTACTTTTAACTATTCTAAAACTTTACAGTGGAGGTATCTTAAACACATGTGAGTTGTGACAATAATTTTGACAGGATAGACGGAACTTTATCTGGAAATAAAAGATGTAACCTGTCACCACACGTTTTGAGAGCTTTTGGTAATCTTATTTAAATAAAATGATTCTTTTATAGCAAACTTTTGTTGGCCAAGAATCCAATTTTGGAAGGCTAATTAATAAGCCTCCAATTAGTTGTATATATATATACACCCGCCCCAAGTCCTGTGCTTCTCGCTTTTTTTCTCTTGGAGAAATCAAGAGAAATGGGTGCCTTAAACTATCTTTCTAACTTGTGCACTATCACCGACAACATGAAAAGCAAAAGGAAATCAATGCAGGTACTCTCAACAGTCTCTACCACATTGCATGTTTTCTAGCATTTTGAGTTTAACTATTGAAAACATAATAGTCTTGCCTATTTTTATATTTAACGGATCAATACGTAAGGGGTGTGTAACTGTTTGTTTTTGTGGTAAAAAATGGCAATACGTGTTGTTTCTTTAATAATAGTAATTTTTGGGTTGATTTTGTAGACAGTGGAGATCAAAGTCAAAATGGATTGTGATGGATGTGAAAGAAAGGTCAAGAATGCCGCTAAAAACATCAGAGGTTCATAATATTGCATTTTTTGTGGTAAACATATATCATGAGTAAAATAGATGCACAAATGCGTAAAATAATTCACATATCTTTCGCTGACAGATATAAATAATCCCACATGGAATGCTGCAACTTTTGCATGCCTAATCACACTAATATGAAAAGAGAACACTCGAATGCTTATTTTGATTTATATGCTTCACAAGGAATTTTAATTTATTTTTTTCAGAATCTATTAATTGAAAGAACAATTTAAGATAAGCAGGTTAGCTAGTTCATTGAAGTCATTTATTGTAGCTAATTGTCGCAGGTGTGAAAACTGTGGAAGTAAACAGAAAGATGAACCAATTAAAAGTGAGTGGTCACGTTGATCCACAGAAAGTCTTAAAGAGAGTTGTGAAGAAAACAGGGAAAAGGGCTGAGTTTTGGCCTTACATACCATTCAACAGAGTTCAAACTCCTCATTTATCCCAAGTTTATGACAAGAAGGCTCCCGCTGGATACGTCAAAAATGTTCAAACTGTAATTGCTACAGCAAATGCTACTGAGGAGACACTCACAAATCTATTCAGTGACGATAATATTAACGCTTGTTCGATTATGTGAAGGTTTTTTCTTCTTTTTTTTTTTTATTTGAATTTGGATCCTGCGGAAACTTAATTATACGAGTTTTATGTTGATTAGTTCCTTTAGGTTGAGAAATTAATGAGTTGATTTTGCGAGAGAATGGTGATGTACTGCTTCTGCTTCTAATGGGGATGAGATTGCATTGACTTTGGACGAGAATGGTGATGTAGTACTTCGCTCCAAAATAAATAAAATAAAAAGATGAGATAAACCAATTTTATTATGGCATGAAGCATTAGTAAACATTTGCAATAGCTTATGATTTGCTACTATACTGATGAGTAAAGTGCACATTTAAAAGTTCACAATGTTACTAAATGTCACCATGCTACAGAATGCAAACGAAATGCACATTAATCGATTCATGTGAAAATGCACATTATTGTAACAGTGTGTTATACGCAATGACTAAAATGCTCTGCGTGAAAAAAATAAAAGAACCCATAATTACAGAACTGCTACCGCCCCTTTGACCGAGAGTCTCTGACCAGCCCTGGAGCATTGATAAATCACATGCAAGCTTATAATACATTCTTATTTCTTTCACTATTACCATTAATTTTTGAGATTGTTGATTATCAAATTACATATCTCCTTTTTAGGTGTGAGAAAATGACACATTAATGAAAATACAACATTCAAACTTTGTATAATGTTGAGGAGTTTGACCTACTTAACATATATCATGATTCCAGATGTCGCTATTAAATGGCATTGGAAGTGTAAATGCCAATCTTTCTTTGAGAAAGCAGAGGCGAAAGAGAGGGCGATGGTCTAATCAGCACAAAAATGGTGGTAAAATGTGCATTCAAAGAAGACATTGGCTTTTAGGTTGTGGCAATGGAATAAGATTCCGGGGCTTATAGCTCCCATAAAGATGCGATTACAACTTAGAAGCAATTTGCATTGATCAGGAATAAAGCATGGCTTTATATTTTCAGTGCAAGTGGTGAATTTAAGGAAATACACAGTAGAACGATTTTTGTTCAGTAGCTGAATTTAAATACGTGACAAAGTGTATCGGTATAATGGAAAAGCTATCGAGCCAAAATTGATTTTTTAATTCTTACAATATCCATTAAAAACAGAAAATTTACAATTGAACTTTTTGGTCATAATGTCATAGCCACTCAAATTAAGATTGCCTCAAAATATATAGTAGCGTGAGTGAAGTTGTATTAATGGGGAGAATTAATAACGTAATAATATCTTTCTTTAGTTGTGTCGTAACTTATCCTCAAATAGGAATTGAAAAAGTTTATGCATTTTATTGATCTAAAAATGAAATGTGAAATTTCAATTTCAGGACCCTCTCGGCCAAAGTTTTACTTTGTAGCAATTGGTTGATACGACTTCTCAAAACTGGTCTACAAGAGTCCTAGGCCTAGCACATTGGCACTCTTCATCATCCTGTAATAAAGGCTTTAAGCGTACATTAAAACTTATATATTGTTTTGTTTCTAATATCAGTACCTGACACCCGATTAGAAGGAAGGATACCATATTTCAGGTTCAATATTATGATAGTAAAACCAGTTGGGGCTTCCTTCACTTGGCTAGGACATTGAAGTTCCATAATTACTTCCATAATTTGTTAAGGAGGCGGAAGTAAACCAATAACAGAACATAATAAATTACAGCATACATCAGAGTAGATGCACCAGAAAACATGAAATGCCAAGTAACTCGACTATCATCGTTTATTCTCACCACAGTGGCTACAAACTATTTTCAGCGTAGAAGGATAGTACCAACCAAATATTTGGAGGGTAAAACACTATCACAAGTTATATTTAATACAAACGAGAGACAAAAGGGTAATTCAACGCCAAAACAAATTCACTAATCTGTAATCAAGGCCCTATTGTTGATATCAAGACTCAGACATAAATGATGATTAACAAACACGGTAGATACATGCTTTTTTATTAGTCTATATAAGTATAATATCAGGTTCTATAAGCTACACAGCCTACTGAAGCTGCTCGTGTACAGATGACAACTGGAAACCAGCTTTTACCTGGTAAATTTTCAGGGATTTATCCAAAACACAACTTGCATGCCAGCCCACTCATAGAAGACATCGAAAAGAATACAGATACAGTTCAGGAATAACTGCAGTCCGCATCATCTAAAATCTCTACCACTGGAGCATACTGCAGAAATTGAATCTATAGCTTGATTGATATATATATAACAAAATCAATAGCAACACATATGAAACTAAACAGCAGACCCTTTTCCATACCTCATCGTCTTCCTCAAAGTAAACTCCAGTGCTGTTCTGTTGAAACTGCCACCCAAAAGTGTCCTCAAGCAGCATTCTCAGCCTTCTCGCCTTGCAAAAGTAAAATCAAATTTCAGTCTAGATTTTTTTTATCTTTTAGGGATTGTAGAGCTTCCTACAATTTAACCTCAACGAACAAATTTGATTCACCAAGTCGTGTAAAAGAGGTGCACCGAAAGAAGA